CGTCACTTTATCTACAAGGGTGGGATAGGAAAAGAAGAGCGGGGGCTGGGCTCTGCAGGAAGCTTAACATCATCCAGGAAAGCACATTCTTAACTTTAAACATCTGAAGAGTCTACCAAAGTCAAGGGGATTAGTCACATGCTCCAAGTAAAGCTCATGTTTAGGCGCTTCACCAGAACAGATCTGAGGAACAGGGTCAAGCCCCTTAATGCTGGGATCACAGCTAACAGATTTCTAATTAACTACTCCTCAAACTAGAAAACCAGACACTAGTGAAAAAGCTTGAATCTCTGTTCAGAAAGCTATTTCAAAGCCTCCTCAAAATGAAGAAACAGGCTAGGTGGGAGTGTGCCTTGGCTCAGGATAGATGGAGGCACTAACCATTGCGAATTTGGATCTGGATGTATTTTGAGTCAACCTCCTCTAAACACAAGTCTAAGCCAACTGAAAGCATGGTGGGGCTGTGAGCCCCCTTCAATGGTATCAAAGCACGTGGGGATCCTCCTGCTTCTGCAAGTAGCATGGAGGGAAATTCACAGTATCCCAAGGGAGTTTTGCCCTTATTTGAGGCAAAAATGAGAAAAATGGTGTTTGGACAAATGGTCCCTTTGGGGATACAATCATCTGCTGCTTCAGACATTTATTCCCATGATTTTAAGATGCTTTATAGCCACACAAGCCTTAGAAACCCTATGCTAGAGTGAGTGGAAAATCACAGAACTGGCCTAAAGATCCAAAGTTAACACTTCTCTTTTGTAAATAAAAATAATCACAACCCTTTTCCACCATTGCCACAAACACACAGGCTCGTATGCAGCTTGTAAACCAACACCATCAGAGAATACTTCATCAAGGCAGAACTGTTTTCATGCCAGCTACAAACAGAAAGGAAAGCTTTGAGAATCCATGAAACAGCAAAATCATTTCCATTCCTTTGAATCTTACTGCTATACCTCTTTCAAAACTGTATCTGTAAAAGAATGCACACCATGAACAGTCACAGACCGTGCAAGACTGTACATCATCACAGGAGCTGCTGCCTCGCTTTCCATCCCACAGGGCCTGACAGCGGTCTCCAACTAGATACCTCTGTGTCCTTTAGTTTACCTAGGTCACTCCAGCCATCTGTATTCACGTGAAACACCTTTTCTATCACACTCAGCACTGCAGAGAAGGAAGAAAATTTGTGTTCCAAGCTGTTTTAATGACACAAATACCACTTTTCTCAAGCATTAATATCTTAACGAGAAGTTGGTTTTTCTCAAAATTTCTCATATTTTGAAAAATTTCACAAATTCTTAAAGGTGTCTTGGTTTTCAGTTGTAGGTTTATTGTTTTCAGTTTTCATTTGGCTTTTCAAGAGCTGTATTTATTTTTAATTTCCTCCTTCTCTTCAATGGCAATTCATCAGTCTCCTTACCTAGTAGACGCTTGCACAGTCAAACGGTTTCAAAGCTTTTCAAAACCACTCTATTTAAAAACCTTGCCAGAGAAAAAGAAATAAACCAATCTACTTAAAATGGAAGTTCCTTCAAAAGGCTTGTATTTTCAACATGAATAAATAAATACTTTCTCTGGTCACATCTAATGGAGAATGAAATGACAAAACTTCAGCTGCCAGGGATGCCACTTCAGTGGCAACACACTAGCTTGGCAGCTTGCATTGGCATCCCTGGAGAATCTGTAGACCAGAGAAAGTAAAAGCTATGTAGTTGAGCAAGAATGAAAGAAACCCAAATGTACCTTACTCCAAAATGCCCTCCAGAAACTTCATTTCTCAGGGCACTGTTAATAAAGCAACAGTATGACACAAGGTGTAACGAGGAGGGGAAGCAGGGCTGGAAGGTGAATGGCTGGCTACGCAGTTGTATTGCACAAGAATTACTTGTTGGTTGTTTGGGTTTTTTTAACTGAGGAAAATACTGTTCCTTGCCAGCTGTATAAATGGCACAACCTGGAAATTAATGCCTTGATTTCTGTGCAGCAGGCACAGTCTCAACAGGTTGCCTCCTTCTCCTGGTGAGTTTTTGTAGATGCAGAGGATAATTTTTATTGAATAATGAGAACTGATGGCATGCAGCTGTCATGTAAGAAAGGATTGCTGGTACTGTCCCTGAATTAAGAAGCATGTTGGGTTGGATTGGTTTTGGGGAGGCCTTTTTTCTTTGCCCTGTCCCCCTTTGCATGTACCCTCACTCCTGCCTATGGCCATTCAGACATCACCTCTTCAGACTCCCTCTGATTACACCCTTGGCCCTTGCCACCTTCCTTGCAGCCTCTGGTCCCCCGCAAGGACCCACTGCTCTCACAGCCAAAATGCTTTGCTTCCCCTAATGGCATTCACTTGCCTCTCCAGACTTAGCTGTTCATTTAGCTCTTCTGGGATCTATGACCTGAATGATGGGAACAGCAGCGTGAAGGAGAAAGGAGACAATGGGAAGAGGAGTAGCAGGAGAAAGAGAAAGACCAAAAAAGAGAGAGAGTCCCATTTGCGGATTCACAATTATATCGTACAACGCTTGAGCTCATGGGAAATGGATCTCTGTTTTCTGCATGTGACCCTTTCGCTTCCATCTGTACACAGTTCTCCCAGATGGAGAGTGGAGATGTCCAGTGAATGGGGGCAGTTTCCAAAGACAAGATGTGGGAAGGTCTTATTTGGCATACATGAACACAACAAGAGGTGTCTTTTACTCCTCCCTTACAAAAATTGGCTTCCCTTTTCTCCTTGGCAATGGTTTTTGCCCAGTTGTCTTAAACATCCAAAACAGAAACTTGATGAAATCCCATTCCAGTAAGTACCTGGGAAGAACAACTGCCAGGGCTCCCCCCACCTCCCTTCTCCCTGGCCAGTCTTCCCTTGGATCCACCATCCTGAACTCTCAGATGTTCCATGAAAACAAAAAAACATCCTGAAATCCACCAGAGGAGACACACTGTCTCAGACCTGATGGCTTTCCTCGCGCTTCTGCAGTTGCAGTGCCTCAATCTTGGGCCACGAACACAGCATGGATGGTTTAGTGGACAATCACATTGCAATGTTTTAAATTTTTCTTTTTCTTAAAAAAAAAAATAAATAAAAGAAGAGGGAAGAAAAAGTTATACACACATATATCACAGCATTTTCAAAAGGCCTTCTGCTGTATTTACATTAGCAGTTCAGCCTCAGTTGTAAGCCTGGATGTAAGGCAGCTGGAAGATTAAAACTGCATTGTTGGGAAGTCCGCTGAGATGTCCTCGTGGAGTATTTTTTGTTGTTTTCTGGTTTTATTTTGTTAGATCCGTTTTTTATCATTATTATTTTCATTTGTTTGCTTCTTTCTGAAGTTTGTCAGGCAAAGACAAAATGCTTTTCTGCTTTTCCCCACACATTCTGTCCATTTTGTTTTCTGTGTTTTAAGCAAAAAACACACAAAAAACCAAAACCAATGACAGAGCAGGCTTCTGTCATTTTGTTTTAAGAAAGAAAAAGAAAGTGGGTGGGTTTCTGATAATGGCCTTGAGGAGGTACGTTGTAGAGGTGGCTCAAACGCTTGACTTGTTTCTTTGCTTGCTGTTTGCATTTTCCCTTCTGGCTGCAACGGACAGGCTTTTTGTCCCTCCCACCCCACCCCACCCCATCCTCCATGTCCTGTACAGATTCTGGTTCCAGATCCCCCACACGGACCCCCTGCTCCCCTTCCCAAAAATGGCAGTAGGTAGGTGCAACTGTATGTTCGTTCAACCTCTAAGGTATGATGCTGAAGTTAGGAGTTGGATGGAAGAGCCATGTGAGAGAAAAGCTTTCCCATCGCTGTGAGAAAGAACGAAGCAACACAGAGTCCGGTGGGGATGTAAGTGCCCTGTTGGACTCAGCTCTACCTTGGCACTGGCATTAATTTGAGATTATACATATATATATAATTATATATACATATATATGCATGTATAGGTAGGTATACATAGACATATATATATATATATATGCATGTGTGTATTTGTTTGTTATTTGTTTTAGCACACTGTCCCATTCTCAGGTCTAGATTTGGGGCAGTTGGTCCTGGGGACAGGTTGGACAGAAGGGGCCAGAGTGCAGAAGAAGCCAGAGATAAGAGTGAGGCCCAGGCCACCCCACGCACAGAACATGGACCAGCCATAGCCATGGCTGATGTCGTCGGGAAGTCCGTACAGGTAGCGGGGGTAGCGGGAGAGCTCAAAGTTGATTCCAGCCACGCACGTGCACAGTGAAATGATGCAGAAGGTTCCTGGAGGAGAATGGGAAGGGGAGAAGGAGGGAGGAAAGAAACAAAAAGAAGTTAGAAGAGCGATAGATACACCACTTCCCCAGCTGCCTGAGTTGGTGCAAGCAGTAAAGAAACACTTAAGGGATGATGTTCATATAGAAAGTGGCTTAGCCTAGTGGCTCCATGGGGAGCAAACTGAGTGTCACCAGAGCCTTGAATATTGATCTGATGATGAACAAAGCTGCAAGGAGAAACTTCAACAGGAACAGTTTTCTCATTACAAGCACTCCCTTAGGAACCAGAAAGCTTCATGAAACCATTGATTTTTCTGGAATTTTGCTTTAGACAAATACAGAGTGAATCATCATGTTTCAATATTTTTGGGGAAAAAAAAACCTTGATTTTTTTTGTTTAATTTCAATTTTTCAGTGATGGATTTTATAGAAGAAGATATTACAAAATACTTGACTGTCAAAATGTAGATTGGAAATTACTTGGAGAGACTTTTTTCAGACTTTTCCTCTATCAAAATCTAAATTAAATCTAAATCTTTCATTATACACCTCCCTTTTAAATATCATTGTCAAAATCATAAAACCCATCACAAAATTCAGATTCTACCCTCTGAATGACTGCAGTCCCAATCTAGATGCCCTCTGCAGTGTTGAGGAAATCTTTGAAACATCCTGTTCTTGTTTTCCATCTCTGCAGCAATATTTCATTTCTTCCTGAGAACACTGCGAGGACAGGCTTCATAACTCTGTCAGAGGGCAAGTGTTATGGAAAGTCAAACATTTTGGATGAGGCTGAACCTTAGCCCACCCAGATGAGTCTAATTTTGATCTTTAGCCTCCAGCTTCATCAAAGGTAAACTCGGAGCTCCTGAAAAGTCACAGTTGCCACCCAGACACCAAATAATGGCCAGCTACACACACTACATGTCTGTCTCAAGAGGTAACAGCTAAAGTCAACATAAAGTTGGAAGTTTATTTTTCCTCTCCAATTCCTCCCTATGTGGGCCTCTCTGGATTGCCTGGAGAGCCCTGGGCACAGAAGGCAAATTGCAGGACGCGTGCTATAGTAACACGTGTGGCCAGTCCTGTGTGTCATCCCACTGTTGGTGCACAGATCAGTAGCGTGCTGCGTGTGCTACCCGTGCAGCATGTCCTGCATCTTTTCAGTAGCAGCTGGTGGCAAGGATTCTCCTACTCTTCCTCGTCCCGTCCCTAAAATAGCACAATCCCCCAAAGCAGTCACGACCAGCCTGGTTTTAGTGTCAAGCTCTTTTCTTCTGGTGCCCTTGACTCCTTCTACTCCTTCCTGGTGCTGTTCCAGCTTCTCTCCTGCAACACTTTTCCTGTTGTTTGTCTGCTGTTTTACTATTTTTAGTTGCAATTGCATTGAAAAAATGGATTTTACACTGTCCACTCTGGAGACACAGGTAAGATCGTGGCGAAGCTACCTGGAATTAGGCTCAGAAACTGTGGGCATTTGTAGGAACATATATACCACCAAAAATGTGTGAACTTCCCACCATACTCACCCCCTTTACTTGGTAGGTCTAGAATCTGTAAGCAAGTGTCTGTCACAGGCCTGTTGTGAGACCACTGTCACGTCCCCCTCTCTCTCTTCCCTCTTCTGATCACTGCCCTGTCTATTTGGACTGTCTTTTCTCCAAGGTGTTCTGGAGTGCCACTTGTAGATACTCTGTGCTGTAAAGGTCAGGGAATATGGGAACTCTGGGTGCCTCCCCTAATGCCACATATAGCTGCCAGATAACCCAGGTTATTCGTCAGTACTCATGCTAGTGGCACAGGGTACCCGTTGGGACCAGCGAGCTGCTGCAGTAGGTACTATGGCTACTGAAATAACGACTGCCTTCCCGCCTCACAGCAGCACTCAATTAATCTAGTCAGTGCTCCGGACTTTTGCAAAAGCCTTGTGTGACCCCAGGCTCTGGACTTGTCTTCAGAGATGTCCTACACTACTTCAAAGCACAGAGCAGGGTAAATGCAGAGGTCTCCCTCACCAAATCCCTTACTCAAAAATCAGATTGTTTGATTAGAAACCACGCACCCCTTTCCGTGTTTTACCATGTCACTTAGGTTATCCAGTAACATGAAGGTGTCTGGCAAGAACGTGGTTGTTCCCTGTGTGATATGTCAACATGACTAGTACATTGTGGGATTGGGGAAAAAAGGATCCATCAGAGCCACAGTGCTCTGAACCAAGCTCCGTGGCTCATTTCAAATGGCTGTGGTTAGAAAATGACATGAAAGGCCTTTCTTTGCTAGCAAGAACATGATAATTTCAGCTCTCTTGAAATAAAAGATTGCTAAAAGAGGTGGGTGGTAAAATCTGTGTGGCCAGACTGAAGCTGCATTTGCTAAGTACAAAAGGGAAGGAAATAAGTTTGGATTTCAAATACTCCCTGTGCTTTCACGATTTGTCTTGGCTATTTTGATTACAAGCCCTTCAAGACAAGGAGCATTGCTTACTCTTGGTATTCGAACAGCACCCAATATATTAGCACTCCACTTTGCTGGGGGTATTCTGCCCCATAACAACAAACAATAGAGAAGAATGAGTAACAACAATAGAGAATAAAGCAAATCATGAACATGAGACTTTTTTAAAAAAGGCTGTCCCCATCCTGCCCCTTCAGAGGAGAATGTGCTAATCCCACGATGACAAATAATGACTGCTGTGCACAAACGTTAGAGGATGCGTAGCACAGTCCTCAGCCAATCATCCCCCTGTGCTTCTACCAGATGTCTTGTATGGCACAGGTTTATCAGCCTCCCTAGTGCTATTCATTACTGACACAAAAAAATGCCATTTTATACCACCTAGAGGAATCTTTATGGCTATTATTCAAGTTCTATGTGCTGTTTGTATTCAGCCAAGCAAGGAAGTTTCCACTTGCAGTTAATCTGATCTCTCACCAGGAGGTTTACTGGTGAAAACTGAGTATGGTTACTACCTTAGGACTGTTCGGTAGCTTTTCCTCATGAATTGGCAATCATAACACAAAGGATCAGCCTTGAAAATTGCATAGTTGTTGGCCATCATAGTGAAAGAATCATGGTTGGAAGGGATGAAGAAACTGAGCTTACCCTTGGCAATGTAACCTCTCCTTGTCTGGGTAAGACGTGGAGGTGGGATGGCAGGAGGAGGGAGGCTGTCGCTCCTGCCAATGACACTGCCTGCACTATGGACACAGTGCTTCAGAGGCACCAGGAGTGCAGCAAGTAATGAGCATCCCCAAACCCGAGATTCTTTTTCCCCAGAAAATAAACTGAACCCTTATTCACTTTCTTGGCAGGTTCTTGTCATCAGTGAGGTGCCCCCCTACATATGCACTAATGCCCCAGATGCCCGGGTAGCCATAGCAATACAAACTTCTCTTTCTTTGTGAAAAACACTCCCCATAACTCTGGCCCAAGCAGAGGACCAGACCTGAAGGCTGGTGGACCAAGGCTCGGCACTTCTGCTGTGGCACTGCCACACAGAATGTGAATGATGGGTGGTAATAAGAGCTCACCGGGGATGTGCTGGTACACGAACTGGATGGAGCAGATAAAAACCATCTCCTTCAGCAGCTGGGGAGAGAAGAATGTGCCAAGTTCTTTGTGCTGGGATTTACACGTTACCATCCTAAGTGAAACACTAATGAATGAGACAAAGCAACAGTGGTGGTTTTGAAAAAGGAAATTCATGTGTCATTGCAAAATGCTTCAGTCAGGTGAGAGATGAAATTTCATGTAAGGTCATGTTTGCACCACAGAAGCTGCTGTTTGACCTCCACCCTGACTCCTCGTCAGACAGCCACCCTTCCTCTTGGATTGGTTTTGACAGTGCCTGTCCTGCTAATGGACCAATGATCAACAGTGGTTTGAGCACCTGAGCTGTTAAATATCTCATGGCTATCTTGTGCTTTTCCTTCTTATATATTATGGAAGAAGAATATTAAACATTGTACTGAAAGCGTCCTCCAGACTGGAAGTTTGTTTAGGACAGAGATGAACTTATTTGCTATATATGTGTATAAGATTGGGGTCCTGCCATCCTTGCTGCAGGGGTAGGCATGGTCAGGAGAGGGATGGCTAGGAACGGTAGTTTCACTGTTGGTCAAAACCTGTGCAGCAGTACAGACGGTGTGGATTATGAGTCAGAGCCCTTTGCTGTAGCTGTTTTTAAGCTTGATTATATCAAGCAGAGCTGTGGGCCTCTGCTGCTATGATTTTTTTTTTTTCCCCCAGTAAATGTCCCTTTTCTTTCTGATCAGCCCAGTTGGGTGAGGGGCTGCAATGCCTCCGTTTGCAGTTTTCACACCTCACCTCCAGGGGAGAGCAGAACTGCTTATGAGTGACCCAATTTAAACGCAAGCAGGCTCAAAACGCCCATATCAAACATGTCTGAATTTTGCCTCGTGCTAGTGCCCCCCATGAACCATGTCATAAGCCACATCCTTCACCCACAGACCTGGTTTAGCTTCCAGAGCGATAAAGCTTTAGGGATTTCACAGAGTCCATGGTGTTTTGTGAGATGAGAGCTGCTGCCTTTCCTAGATACACTGCAAATGAAGGTGAGCCTTCATGGTGCTGGTGAGCAAACAGACCCCACTAGCAGGAGCTTCATTAAACATCCTCATCCCTGGTATTAGGGGTGAGGTGTCTGACTGTAGCCTGAAGGAGACATCACCAATTTGAAGTCAAGGTAAATCCAAAAAGCCAGTAATTAAAATGATTCAGGCACCAAGCCCACCTCTGAGACCCTCCTCTCTACAAATAATTTTTCTCATTATTTGGAAAACGTTTCTTCCATGTCTGATGCTCATTCTCTCCCTTCCCCCCACAACAGGCAGATAACTGTGCTGTCAGATGTACAAAGCAAGCAAACCAGAAAAACTTTCTCTTTTTTTGCAGAGACAGAAATGTCAAGTCTTACTTATGAACACTAGCAGATAAAAAGAGAAACACAAAGGATTTTAAGATGTCCTCTGAAACAAAGCAGTTTTT